CCCTCCCCAGCCCCTCACCACACCATTGTCTGTGTCCTTGGGTTATGCACATATGCATATAAATTCTTTGGTTAACCTCCCCCACCCCCCTCCTTCCCTCTAAGATCCATCAGTCTGATCCATGCTTCCATGTCATTGAATCTGTTCTGTTCATCAGTTTATTAAGTTCTTTAGATTCCACGTATAAGCGAGATCATGTGATGTTTGTCTTTCTCTGCCTGGCCTATTTCCCTTAGCATAATAACTCTCCAGGTCCATCCATACTGTCCCCAAGGGTAGGAGATCCTTCTTTATTACAGCTGCATAGTATTCCATGGTGTAAATGTCCCACGGCTTTTTATCCACTCATCTACTGATGGGTTCGGTGCTCTCTTCCTTCTTTTTAAAAAGGTCTGAAGGCAGGCTGGACACAGGGTTATGTAGTGTTGGGTGGCTCCCTCAGAAAAACAAAAAAGATAACTGGAAATTGGGGAGAAATTATCAATCCCATTCAAGCAGATTAAAAACAAAAGGACATCCCTTTTAAGGGACATTAACCCTCAGTACACGAACCAGGGGAAAGTCGGGTGAGGCCCAGAGCGCCCGGGGAGGAGGGCAGGAGGAGACGGGTAAGGTGGAGGCCGCGGCGCGAGCCCCCAGCTCGAACGCCTGGAAACCTGGCGACGGCGGCAGCTGGAAACCGACGCTTTGAAGTCCAAGTGGATTTCACTTTGGAAGGCTGTGTGTAATCGTGCTGAGCTGTTAAAAGAATGTCTGTTGTTTTCTTTTTCAGTAATTAATGGTCACACGCTGTGTTTGCGGCTGTTACTAGAAATTGCAGACAACCCCGAAGTGGTTGACGTGACAGATGCCAAAGGACAGTAAGTGCTTCCCGCTCGGCCTGGGGTGGACGTTGCAGTCACGGTGGGTAATGGGCCGATTTAGAAGCTAGGAGGGCTGACTTTTGGGTTGGGAGGTATGTGTTTGGGTGAAATTGGTTGCATGAGAACCCTGGAATAACGAGGTGCCCTGGTGCTAGAGCATATCCGAGAAAAGTATGCAGGCTGTGTGTGTGTCTTGATGAAAATGAGCCAACTTTTCATGTCTGTGGCCATGTATCCTGGCCTTTTAAAAATAGTTCTCCTTTCTCCTTCTTTCTATCCATTTTACCCTCTTTTGAAGCTGCTACATTCCCATTTTAATGTTAATAATGGCAACGGCTTCGAGAAGTTACCTCAATCATGGGTCTGTTTTTCCAAAGTCCTTTCCATCTGTTAGCCTGTGCCTACACCCAGTCTCCTCTGACAAGCAGGAAATGCAGAGCAAACAGCGCTGGGGACTCACACCAGACACATGCGTCAGTGTTGCAGTCAGACCCAGGACGTCCCCTCCTGGATTCCAGCGCTTTGTTCTTTCCTCTATATTTGTCAGACTTTTCTGTAAGGCAGTGAAGCTTTGTTCAAATGAAATATTGAGCAAATGCCAACATAGAAAACTATGAAAGTAGACCTACTCTGGTAGAAGCAAGAGGGTCTCCTACATGCATGCACTCCCTACTCAATTGATATTTAGAAATGCTATGTACTTTTGAAAATTATGGGATTCCACTGACACCATTCCACATGGCCATTAAACACCAGAGGTAGCTTGTTCCAAGTAGCATAGAGTAAGTTGGGGGCACTAAAAATATCAAGCAACTGTCAAGAAGGGGGG